GATGGCCACTCAAGGGACCATGTGAAGCCTCAGAGCAGGTTGCTCCAGTCCACCTTTAGTAGCTGCCGGATTGTGGCGTGGTCAGGGCTGTGGCTGCAGGAGTCCTCTGGTCCTGTGTCCTGAGTCAGCCTGACCCCTGCGTTAGCATGGTCCCTAAGCATGGAGGTGCTGGAAAGCCGTGGAGGGTCAGCCATGCTGGCTGGCTGGAGAGGACAGGGGAGGACTCACAGTTCTGGGGTCACCTGCCCCCAGGCTCCCCAGAAATTGCAGGTCTGCAGCTTCTGTGTCCAGAAGTCACACAGGTGCCTCTCCAGTCTGAGAGTGAGGCCCGGGTATGTTCCATCTTGGGGTTCAGGGAGTGGGGTGTGCACTGGGTCCCGGGGTGCAGCTGCTGTCTGCCCTTCTCAGCCCCCTCTGCCTCCAGGAGCCCTGGGCTCTCTGACACAACCCTGCTATGGGCTGGTGTAATCCCTGGCCGGGGCTAGAATCTCACTGCGCAGAGCACATCCAATCTCACTGGACCCAACCCCCAGGACCCCCCACCCATGACAGGTACTGTGGCCAGTGCCCCAGGATCCCAATGAGGACTGACAGGCGAGGTGGGCACACAGAACCTCCAGCCCAACAGCAAGAAGCTGTAGGGGTGTGAAGGGGTGTGTGTGTGTGTGTGTGCAGCTCCTCCTCAGGTGCCCTTCCAGCAAACCCCTAGCTAGGGCCATGCTGTAGGGGTGTGAAGGTGTGTGTGTGTGTGTGTGTTTGTGTGTGTGTGTGTGTGTATGTGCAGCTCCTCCTCAGGTGCCCTTCCAGCAAACCCCTAGCTAGGGCCATGCCTGCCACTCAGCCCCAGCACATAACACTCCCAGGGAGAAAATGCTAGATTGCAAGCAAACCTTTATCTCCTTCCTGCATGGAGGAACATGCTGGAACATTCAAGGCAGCATAGAAGTAGCCTGCAAGAGCTAGAAGAGAACATGAAGACCAGCTCAATGTCAGAAGGCCAGAGTGCTGGGGAGCTGAGTGCTCGCCCACTTCATGTACACCTGTGATGCTAGCTGCTCAGGAGGCTGAGGATCATAGTTCAAAGCTCACCTGGGCAAGAAAGTCCATGAGATTCATATTCCAATTAAGCACCCAAAGCCGGAGGTGGAGCTGTGGCTCAAGTGATAAGAGTGCCAGCCTTGAGCACAAAAGCTTAGGAACAACAGTGCCCAGGCCTTGAGTTCAAGCCCCAGGACCCCCCCCCCCCACACACACACACACACACTCTCCTCCCAGGAAAGTAGAAAAGAAGCCAATGCCGTCACTTGAGTTGGATCGTGACATGAAGTGACCACAGCAGAGGTTTCAGTCTCACTAATAATGGAAGTGAGACAAACAGAATCAAGAGAGTTTGGAGATCTCTCAGCTTGATAGACACATCGCCAGGCTGGTGACACTGGGTGATGACGCCGTGAGACCAGCACCCACAGACCCAGCCCAGCAGCCCCTCCCAAGCCCGCTACCGCTCCCCGCTTCGTGCAATCTATTCTGAGGAAATAACTCAAGATGCAGACCGAGATTTTTCTGAACAGAAGGTCATATTCATTTCATTCTGAATGGCTAAAAAAAAAGTATTATTATTTTAAAAGCTTTTCCCCTCTCAGGAATTTTGAATGGAGTCTTTGGAGCCAAGTGTCTATCTAAAAATAGAACAGAGTTCTGGAAATAACAGTTGTGCCTACAAAGTAAAATGGCTACAGCTCCCGGACCCGTCCTCTTCCAGCTCCAATGTGCACAGCAGTAAGAAATTAGCCACAAAATCAGGACACAGAAACTAGAAGATGAGGCCTCTACAGTGAGACACTTGCTTTTCTCTAACTGTTAAAAAAAACAACCAACAACGAAGTTTCAGCTGGGCGCTGGTGGCTCAACCTGCAATCCTAGCTACTCAGGAGGCTGAGGTCTGAGGATCGCAGTTCAAAGCCAGCCCAGGCAGGAAAGTCCATGAGGCTCTTACCTCCAGTTAAGCACCTCCCCCCCAAAAAAAAAGCCAGATGTGGAGCTGTGTGTCAAGTGGTAAAGTGCCAGCCTTGAGCAAAGCTCAGGGACAGCACCCAGACCCTGAGGTCAAGCCCCAGAACTGGCATCAAAAAAAAAAAAATTCAAGGAAGTTTTAATAACATGGCAGAGTCCTTCTGATGTGTTGAATGAAAAAAATGGCAGGCCGGGCGCTGGTGGCTCAGGCCTGTAATCCTAGCTACTCAGGAGGCTGAGACCTGAGGATCGCGGTTCAAAGCCAGCCCGGGCAGGAGAGACCGTGAGACTCCGACCTCCAATAAACCACCAGAAAAC